TATTTTCAAAAACTTTAATAGATTGTAAATATGATACTGTAACAGTAATCAATTTAATAATTAAAGTTCTAATTAGTGAAATTGATCTGTAAATTTATATTAATATAAATATCTAAGTAAACTATAATGTTTGTTTTGACTTCAACTTAACTAAAAAAAATGAATTAATTATTAAATATTATTATTATTTTAAAATAATTTCTATAAGATTTGGTTGGATTTATTAGTTATTATGATTTTTTTAATTAAAAAATTCTTAATACTAACAAATGCAACCTAATTATGATAGATAATAAGTGATAAAATATTACTTTACTAATTTATAAATTTTATAATTTGTGTGCTAAAATGATTTCTTAATAAAACATATAAAAAATTTCGGGATAAAACTTATTTAGATTTGCACTATAAGGATAAAAAGCTCAGGTTTAGAATTTGCTAAATCAAAATTTATTCAGAAAATTCAATTTTAACTAAATATTGTAAATGAAAGGACATAACTTGATAAAAAAGTTAGAATTTTTAATTTTTAAACTCTAAATTATTGATTATTAACTAAGGACTTTCCGAATATTTACATTCTGATTCATTACAAATCCAACTATTTTTCTAATTATTAACATATTTTTTAGATTACCATCCAAATCATGAATTAAAGATTATTAGTTTTATTATATAGACTCTGAAATGAATTTAAGACCAATACCTTTTTCACAATAGGATACTTCACAATAAAGTGCACATTAGAATTTACAATTAAAACATTCATGATATTCTATATTATTATAATCATCGCATTCTATTTCATAATCAACCATCATTTATGCACATATTGGCTTACATTAATTCTCGAAAACAATCATATTTTTTGAACATCTTTTTAGACATATTCCTTTATAACAAACTAAACAATCTTGACTGCATTGATAATTAAAATCAAAACAACCATCATAATAAATTAAATTCATATCATCGCATTCTTTATATGAAAATACCATCTCCACAAATTGGAACACATATTTCCTCTTTATTTTCAAACCCTATTTCTCATTGAAAACAGTATTTTATAGTTAATTGATTATTTTCAATATAAACTATGACAAGTTAAGCAATGAGGTAGACATGCAAATTTGTATTAATCAAATCCATCTTTTGGATTTTAATTCCTATCATCACATTCTTCTTAAGTAAGAGGGATTACTTTATCATCTTCACAATAAGGTTATCAAGTTTATGAATCTTCATTTATTATAAATCCTTCTTTATATAAATAATAAAAGCCAAATACACATTATAAACAATATAGATCACAACTATAATCGCATGATTGATCTTCAAAATAAATATCTATTGTAGAATAATATTATTTAAATTTTAAAATTATATTGTGTAAGTTAGCAATTTTTACTTTAATACACTCATACTTACATCGAATGCATTATTAATTTTTACACAATTCATAATACTGATTGCACTCATTTTTTATTTAATCCAAATCATTTTTAAATTAAAAAATTATATATTCTTCATTATTCTCTTTATATTCTTTGACTTTATTCAAGTAACATTTTTGATTAAATTAATTTTAAACTAGATTGATTTCACATGATTTTTTTAGGGTGTCATAATAATATCCAACTTCATATTCAATATAAAGAATCTTTTAATAACAATTGATGCAATTTTCATCATTTGCTTCACATTCTTCATCATTAACAAGAATTCAATCACCAAATTAGGATTTCAATTTAGAGCTATTATTCAAATAATATCTTTAAGCACATTTTTATTTAAAATAATAGTAGGGTAATTTAAATCTATTTTCATTTATGTCATAATAAGCATACTCTTAATTTTCTTGACTCTTACTTATTTGTAGTTAATTCATGTCCTTTTTAGCAAAGGTAATATGTTTAGAATTAACAAAGTTAACAACGACGATGACAATGAAATAGATTCTTTCTTTATGATTTATTGAAATAGACTAGATCAGTAAATAAGATGCATATATTTTGTTTTTAGTTCATATTTAATCCTATAATTGATAGATATTTCCCTAAGGCATAATCTTGTTCATCTTATAAAAAATAACATACTTCTTTGATCATCACATATCACAGTTTTGCAAGACTCCTAACATCTTGCTAAACAATTCTGGCATCCTCTTTTAGGTAAGATATTTCCTGATTCACATATTTCATCAATTACATAATTTTATCTCCACTCACATTTTAATTTGATTATTAATAATATCCGAAAGCACAAGCTGAAGAATCACTATTACATTTAGAACTTCTATTATTATTGCCATCATGACAATATTCTATAAAAACCATTTACTATTAATCCATTTCCACAAATATTTCTACAATAATATTTTTCAGGAGCATATCCTGTTTATTCACAACTTTAACATTTATTGATAGAATAATCACAGGATGAGCAACCAATTAGACAAGAAATATCTACAATCTTTGCAGCCATCTAAGTCTGAAGTATTTAATTCATTACATTGTTCATTTCCAACTATTAAACTATCTCAACATTATTCTTTGAATGTCCATAATTTGATTGATGTATCAACCACCCATCCAAGTGTGAAACATTCTAAACAATTTCTCATAATACTTTTAATTTTAGCATTAATATTTACATTAGTAATATCCATCATATTGTATATTATTGCCATCTTCATATTCTTCATCACCTGTAATTATTCCATCATCCCAAATATCTGGATATGGAAGAGTAGTTGTAGAATTACAGGTTAAACAATGTTTAGGACATTAAAATTTGCAATTATAACATAAATCATCTAAATTGTAATTACCATCTTCATATTCTTCAAATAGATTTGATAATCTAAAGTCTTCACATTAGAATTGACAACGATTTAAGATTAATTCATATCCTATATCACAATTACTACAAACATCAGTATGCCACAATAATTAATTGCCATTATATAAATTATAGCATTTAGTTAGATCAATCACTATCTTCAATAATGGGACAATCTTAAATTAAAGATATAAACATACTTTAACAAATATTATCTAATTCATAATAGCCAGATTAACACTCATATTTTAACCCTCTGAGAACTTGATGTAAATTAGAATCACAATTTAAACAGCCATCAATTGTGATTCGAAAGCAAGTTAAACTAGTTTTATGACAAGGAGCGCATATTTTAAGTTCATCTTAGTATGCAGTACCCATTTAACATTTACATGTTGATCCATCTTTTTCAATATTTTTTTATATTCTAAAACTCTTTAAAATTATCTTAAGATGATTCTAAACATTTTAGATAGATAGGACATTGAGTAATATCCATCAAAGCATACACATTATCCGTTTAATACATTTGCTCTAAGAAACCTTAATCAAACATGAATCGTATTGATCCAATTATATACGATTGTTTTAATCACTAAATTCTAAACAATAAGGCTAATAATAATATAGTATTTATGTATTCCACAATATGCCAATATTGGTTCATTGTTTGAGTAATCTTGTGATTTATTATTTATGACTTAGAACCATCACTATGGGTATCAGATGCACTGTTTTATAACATGAGACTGGTTAATTTATTGCTATTGTATAAATAAATTGACTATTTGAAGGAAAACTAGGACCATAAACAATTTAAAATGAAATACTTGTCCTAATTTTATGAATCCTCTTAATAGCAACCTAACTCCAAACATAAGATCCACCAAATATTCTATTTTATTGCAATAAGAATAATATATATTCTCACCTTTTAATAAATTTA